TTATATAAGCACCCACAAAATTTGCGAAAGGACAGTTTCAGTACAATTTTCAGTTCAGTAGTCAGTTCAGTCAGTTCCAGTTTCAATTTCTGTTTTGTTTTTCTCCTCTCCGCCGACTTGTATTTTTCCAACGTAGCCTTCCAAAATGATCAATTCTTGTAAAGAAAAATTGTCAATAGTTTAATGATTTTTCTCGTTCTAATTCTATTTCGCAACTTTTTTCACGGAGGAATATGAAACGATATCACAAAAATAAAATAAGAAGTAAACGATCTTTCGAATAAAATTAACGTCAATTTTAATCAAGCCACTGATTCATGCCTTGTGAAACAAATTCGCGATGAAATCCAAAACACCAAAGGCTAAAAACACTACCAGCTGCCATTCAATCCCTCCGTCTCTTGTTCCCCCTTTCCATCACGCGTGGTTAAACCCTCTGGAAATCTTACGTGCCGAAATGTGTCACGCTCTATCTGACGGTCGCATTGATCGTCTCCGTGGCGACATCCGTTTCCTGTTCCCCTATTTCCATACAATGGACACCACGCCAGCGAATATAGATCGTCTGTGCATTTAATGAGACTCTCGCTATCGGGACCCCGAAACGGGGTCGTAAGCCTCATCGACCTTATTTTCCGCGTCAATAATCCAGAAAATACCCGCGCGAAACACCTCGTCGAAAATTATACGCGGCACTTTCCTCCCTTCCACTGTGCGGCAAACACGGAAGCGAAAAAAATTCCCTTTCGCGGATTCGATGCTGGTTCGCTGCGCTCTCTCGTCGGGCAAAGTGGGTTAAACGGGATTCCCGATTTGTTATTTAAAGTTGACGTAATTGCAATCAACGCGCGTGGCCTCGTTGTTCTCGAAAGAAGAAAATGGGAAAAGCGGACCGCTATTTTCCTTCCACTCTCGGGGATTAATTGGGTTAATTAAAGTTCGAAGAAAGTTTCGCGGCTGGTTAAGTGCGGTGTACTTTTCATTCGCGCGTGTGTGCTATGCGTGTGAAGAGACTTTCGGGATAGTCGAAAGTGTCGCGGGATTTTTGGGTCTTTCTTCAAACTGCCGGAAGATACGTTCGAGTTTACGGGGCTAACATTTCGGGAGAAACGTTCGATCGTGATTTCTAATTTATGAAAAAGAAAAAAGAGAATCGAATTCGTTACGAGACCTAGATAAAATGTGTTTTGAAATTTTAATATAGGCATTTTTAGATATATTGCGAAGATTGCGTTGCTAATTAATAATAAATGTAAGCACCGTTGCGTTTATTGATTCGCATAAATTACGACCATGATACGTAACGTATGTTCTAAAAATGAAGTCGGCAACGAATTCAAATTTCTGTTTCACAGCTTTCTTCGTCATATTTTCTTTTTCGGATAATTATAACTGATGTCCTTTTTTAGTATCGTGATAGATAACGTCCCTTTTAATACCAATCTTTAAACGCGAAAAGATACGACGATATTATAATTGATCGAGTTGCAAACGTTCGAGATGAATTTTTAAAATCCGTCAGCTTTCCCGCGCCGGCGGAGCAATTTCGAACGGCGCTGACGCTCGTCCGCCATATTGGCGGGAATTTCAATTAAGTTACGAAATTTTGTACTACCAAGGCTAGATCGATATTCCTCCTATCTTCGTGCACGCCCACCGCATCCTTTACTGTTTTATTTAGAGCGATCGAGTCAGAGTTTATCAGGCATGCAACATTTATGATTACGAGTATATCTCGGCCTTCGACGAAAGAGATTCAATCACGTCGCGTGAACGTTCATTCAATTTTATCGTATGCCTTTATCCGTGAGAACATCGGCCAGCTGGACGCGAAATTACCGCTTTTCCCTTCTTCCAGTAGATTCGCTAATTATTTTCCTCCCCCCGAGTGCCGCAATTACGTTTCCCCACCTTTCCACCCGTGCATACCCGTTTCTGCGAATTTTTCATTCGCCTAACGATCACGTTTATCGAAGTTATGCCGGATAATTTCTGCACTGCAGCTTAATCCCAACCCTCGTTTCGTTTTTTCCCCGGTTTTTTCGAATTACCGCGGCATCGACATTTATTATTACGCGCCAGTGTTCTTGCTACTCCTGTCATCGTAATTGCGAGCACAAAAATGCGGCTTGGTCTGAGATAACGCTCGACATTAACGTTTTGTATATCCTGTTTCATACGGTATCGACGTGTACACGAGAATAGTCGGGTGGTTTCGTGTCGATTTGAAGAAAATATATTTCATCCGGTTAGCTTCGTTAGATCGAGGTTTCTCAACGGTGGTGTATAACTTCCAGGTGGTCCAACATCCAATTCCTTGGACCACGTGAAGATGTTTATGCTACATATTCGAAGAGTTCTTGCTCGAAGTAGCGTAAGTACTAAAACGTAAATTTTTCAAGACGTAGAAAATATAGGATAATTATTGTCGAATTTTTATTTATTTTTATTCAGATACGCGATTAAGGATGGAATAATTGAAATACGTCTCTGAATTTGTCCTTCGAATTTATTTCATTGTATTTTCACTGATTCTATCTTTCACTAATATTTTCTCGTGAAAAAGAAGACATTTTTTGAATCTTGGCGTTTGCGCTACTTCCTACGAGATCTCTTCGTTTGTGCACCGATTTGTGCAAATAAAAATACGGTACAGATACGCGTGTCTTTTATAAATCTTTTATAAATTTCTGGGAGATACGAAGAAAGTAGAAGAGAGCTGTGAGCCGAAAAAGGTTGAGAAACCCTGCGTTAGATTATTATTCCGAATTGCGTCAGTGGCCATTGCATCCCTGACAAACATTGCGCGCACGTTGCACACCCACCATGTGTCTCTTGAAATATCTGCGTTTCCACGCAAACATTGCGCGATGATATGTAAATAAAAATCGTGATTAACATTTGCGTGCCGAAGTGAAAGGTTCAGCTACGCGAATAAACGAATTTCCACCCGGTTCGTTACTCTCTTCCACCATCTATTCCTTTTTCTTCTCTTTCTTTCCTCCTCTTTTTCCGTATATATTATACCAAAAGGAGCGAATTTGCTTACGCCATTTCTCTCGGATAAGCCTCGCGGCAGAGACGCTGCCAGGCACGATATCATGCAATTATGCGAAAAAAATGTTCACTCACCCGTCGTTCCTCCTCGCGTGCGGCTCGCAGGTGAGATTCGATCGCGTCCAGATCGATCTTCGGCATCGCTGTTTCGATATTGTAGACGTCGAAGCCGCCTTCCATGGAAAGAAGACCACATAAGATATCAAGTTACACAAACGTATAATTATCCGTTAACTAACTAGTTATCACGAGTCAAGTCGCAAAAAGAGTAAATAGAAGTTCGTATCTCGCAACCTTTCTCGACACTTGTCACGATTATTTCGCTTTTACTTTTACTTTTACTTCGACGGGTACCCTCGAAATTTATTCACAATCACGATACGCTAATCCATCTCGTATTCCCTCTCGCGATTATACATGGTCGTTGATTCGCGTTAGAAATTTTGCGCGATACGTTCAAAGAGTATGATCGTTTGAACGTATCCGAAAGCAGTGGATTAATGGATATATTAAACCGTGGACAGAACAAATCGAAATTTCTATCTCTCACCTCTCTTTGTCACTTGCTTCACGGTCATTCTCTCCATTTTTTTACGTAATTATAGTCGCAGCTTTCCTAACAGATTTATGACAGAAATATCATTGCTTTTTATACTCCATCTACGATCATAGTTGACACGAACTCGCAAATATCTTATAGCACGTTAAATGTATATAATCAACACTATGAAGATTTCTCGAAATATTACACGGTTTTCCTCTTTGTCACTCTTCGCGATTGCTTTCACTTTGTTTTTTCCGGGTTATCGTGGCGAAAATTCTTCTTCGTTTCGATTCACTACGGGAATATGTCGCGGAGTGATAGTTCGCCGGTGTGCACCGCGAAATTCGAATAATGCACGACAAGTGCACGCGAGAGAATAGTTGGGAAGAAGAAGCGCAAATGCACAGCCATCGTGAAAGGAACGTGTCACATATAATAGATATGTCGAGGTGCTTTTATTGTCCTAGCGATTACGCTAATCGTGCTTCCTGCGCGATACACGTGGAAAACGAGCAGCGAATTTGACCACGATTACGTTCCCTTTTTCCCTTCTTCGTTGCGTAAAAATCCTCCCAGGTTCGCATGTACTTTCATTGTCTTTTGTGCTCCTGCACCGTAAAATTTCACTTCTGTTAAGCAACCGCGAATTAAGCGCAATTGCATATGCGCGGTGCAAGACTCGCTGCTCGCGGAAACGTAAGGCTCTATCCGTGATCTTCGTGATTTTCTCCGGCGTTCAAAGATATATATCCAGATCTCGGTGGATGCGAGGAATTTTAGGAAGTAAACCTTAGACTTGTGACACGTTCAGTTTTATACAAGCTCGACGATCTTTCTGGTTGCAGTGAGAATTCTAATCTCTCCGGCAAAGAATTTATCGCGGTTAAGATAATTATATTTCAGCTCTCGTTCGTATCAGTGTGAGATATAATTATAAAATTAACCTTGCTACATTACGATACGCGAACACGCGTACGTTAGTATACAAGTCTTGGAAGCAAGCTTGGATTAAGCCGAGGAACTTAAAGTGTACTGAGAAACTGGTTCTACGAAGGCATAATAACTTGAAATTCTTCCTGAACTTAGCTTCGAACTTTCTGAACAGCTTAGTGCATCGTGACTGTTGAAAATAAAATACGTTTTAACGTATATACAAAAATCAATCTCTTAAATAAAATAGAAATAGACATGCCTCTGAACTATGCGACGAAGAGAGGTTCCAGGAACGCGTGCAGTGTTTACGAGAATTACGGGACTAGGACGAGCTGCAATTGCATACCCTTTTTCATCATTCTAGTTTTGTCTCTCCATGCGTACAGTTAGAATACAGAAGATATAGCTTCCTAGGAATAGAATAAAGATAATTATAAAGAAAGATAGTTATTTCCTTTTACCTATAATCCCACTAGTGACAATGTCTAGTTTCACATACAAACATATTTCTGGAAATGACTGTATGAGAGGAATCTTTATTTGGATAGCGTCACCCTGCATCGAGATCTATCTTTGCTTCGAGGAACCATCCTTCTAGGGCCTATAAAAACTTAGCTGAAGAGTTCGACGAGACACTTTTTGATAGTTCACCATCTGCACCACGCATCATAGACGACTTCGAGCTTCCGTATATTCTATACCACCAAGAAATATAAAATATAATCAGAATCAAAAGTTCGTTTTGACTTATTAATCCGATCTTTACCACAGCTGTGTAATTGCCATAAGGAAACTGCTTAACGTATCACTTAACGTAAATACCCTTTTGCGAAAGTTCTTCTAATAATAATCGTTAACCCCTGACAGCGTTATATCAGCGGCATAAAGGAACCGCACCCACAAACGCAATCCGAAAATTCCACATGGAATAATACTCGTCCGCATAAAGAAAAAGGACCAAGAAATCTTCCCTATCTCATTCGTGTCTCGCAAACGCATTACGCACACTTCACAACGGATATACCTGGCCCATTGTCCGCGTCGGCCCTCCTCTTGTCCGGACGCCTCTGCGAGTTCACCGTTCTCAACTGCTGCAGCTGTTGCTGTTGCTGCTGCTGCTGCTGTTGCCTGCGTTTCGCCTGATTCCTCGCCATTTTCTCCTTCTTCCTGGTGTCGGCGCTCGATGCCTCCGGGAGATCGCGGTCCAGCAGCTTGTTCGTGTCCTCGATGGCGTCCTTCATCATGTTGTTCATGGCGGCTGAGGATCGCGAGGACGCGTGGACATGGTCCAGGGCCTCCATGGCGACCACGTCCGGCACCGGTTGCACGTACTTCTCGAGATCGACCCCGATATCACGGCCGATGCTCGAGAGCAGATCGATCTCCTCGAGCTTCGTGTACGTGGGCTGTTCCTCCGGGTAACTGTCGGTGTCGGTGTTGCTCTCTGAGTCGTCGTCGGCGGAGCCGGTCGACGTGACCGTCTGACGGTTGCCTATTTTGGAACGGGCCTGGTGAGGCAACTCCTTTGCCTCGCGTATCAGGTCGATGTGCTCCACCACGATATCCTCTGCCTGAAAGAAGATAATGCTCGTTAGCCGCTTCCTTTCGCTGCTTCCAAGCAGTGACTCTTGCGAGTGGATTTTGGTACTATCGTGGTCTGTGGTTTGAGGGTTTGGCTTTCCGGATCTTTCGCGCACGATTGGTGGGACCTGGTCTGTGAGAACTGTTCGTACCTACGTCTGTATTTACGTCTATATTTACGTCTATATTTGTATATATGTTTCAGATTGGAACCAGTGCCATAGGCTACGCGGGGGAACTGTTAGACGCAGGATCAGAGCGAAGGAAACAGTTTAGCTGCGCGCGTGTCGAATAGTCGCGATGATTTGGACGTTTCGTTCGATACAGTTAGCAAAGTCTGCGAGGTTTGTTATTTCGAGTAGAGAAGAGTCGAGGGAAGAAGAAACATTACGCGTGGAAGCTGTTGCAATTTTGCGAACTCGTAAAGCACTTTATCGTTTTACGACTCTTTGGACTTGATAGAAACCACTTGAAATTCCACTTGAGACTCCGAGTCCATCCTGCAGCTCGTCACGATCGTCGAATTCGTTGTTACTTGGAGTATTCGTGACACGTTGACACGGTTTCAAGAGGGCAGCTTGATTCACACCATCGCTAATTGGTATTTAGTTACTATGTGGAAGCCGGCTCGTCCGAAAGTTTCCGGAAATTTCTGATTAACGCAGAAGTGCAGCTACACGTCGCCGGCCGGCCGAGTTACGCTGTTTTAAAACGTGGAACGTAGCGTGAACTCTGCTGAATACATTAATGTGTTCTGCATTCGTGTGCGTCCAGTGTTGCAGTCATTAGTCTTCCACATGCGCGGCCAGAAGTGTGACACGGACGATGTAAAGTGAATTCTCGTTAATCTCGATTGCTCGTGCTTCATCGTGACAGAAATCGTTTGCACCATGGTCGCTTTTCGATCCTCGTACCTTTTGAAAAATCGCAGCAATTAGGCATTTCTTCCTCCTTTTTTCCTTTCCGATCCCCACTGTCCACAGATTACACGTTGGCTAGTAATCTAGATACCGTTCGTGTGATGTTCGCAGCTTTTTAAGATCCGATGCAAAGTGTATATTAATAGATATAGTGATTAAATGACCTAAGCAGCGTCATCTTGACGACGATGACATTGGTAGCAAAATGTTTATTAATACTGCAAACTGATAAACTGTTGGGACCATGGATGTCTATGCGAATGTGCATTTCTGAAGAAAATTGATAATAAAATAGGATTTCTGGATATATTTAGATGGATTTATGAGAGAAAGTTCAAGTGTATGCAAAGTACGTTGTATACTTTATAATCGCCTTATACTCTATAAACCTGGTATTATTCATCTAACAAGATTATCAAGGGTAAGAGTTATTAAACGGCATTCGACAAACTTAATAGTAGCAATTGAAAATTTCGAAGAAGGAATTATGCAGGAAATATGAGTCGTTGAAATATGAATCAGCGGATGTTAGGAATACAGATGTCGGGACGCCGACAGAAATTTAAATACGTCTCCATCGCGTCATACGATATCGAATTAATTTCCACCAACAAATTGTTGATGTGAAAATGTGCTTACAGTTTAGCTAGATCTATCAACTACGAGCTATCGAAAAGCATACTAAATCTATTCTCGAGTGCGTTATTACGTTTCATCTAGAAAAATTGAACTTCGAGTTGCACGTTGGTCGAGCGTTCTTTACTCCTGGTTATTTTCCAACACCCGGTATAATAAGCCTCAGGAACTTCGCTTCCATCACTAAGGTAGATGAAGAAGATTATCGCGTAGCAAAGTATGCACATGCACGTATGATAAAAACGTCGGAACCTACCTCACCGACCTCGCTGGTCTTCCCAGAGTCCGATATTTCCTCGATCTCCGGAAACTGAAGGATCTCCTTCACGCTGGTCGTCAGCTCGACGATCTCGACCTCGACCGGGATCTCCCGTTCCTGTTTCTCTTCCAAGACCGCCTCGGACAATTCCGTGGTGTTCTCGGCGACCGTGTCAGCTAGTGCTTCCTCCGGCTCTAGAACTGTCAGATGCGTCTCTGCCTCGACCACACCGTTCACGATATCCGATTTCGGCGTTAAGATCTTTTCCTCCGTTCTCGAGTCTTCAACGCTTTTCACGTAGTTTATACATTTCTCCGATGGCGGCACCACCGACTCGTACAAAGATGTTACAGTCTGGAAACAGAGTCGATTCGCGACGTTCAGTCTACTCGGGCCTTGGCGGCTGTTTAATGGAGAGGCCTGAACCGCAGCGAGGCTCTCTCGAGCTGATCGTTGGATTCCATGCTCGCGTGTTCAAAGAAGGCTCGTGTATTGTCGAGCTGGCGCCACTGATCGCTTGCTTTTTTATTTTTTCTCTCTCCTTATCGAACGGAATGGCTGAACGCGCCCGTCTTGGTCTGCTTTTCAGCAGGGATCGGACTAATTTAGGTATAGCGGGAAAAAATTCGAGGCACGGCGAGTTTATAAATAGGCTCGAAACCGGGAACGACAGGAATTAGAACATAATTAAGCATTCCTCTGTTCGCATGTATTTTCGGATGTATTTTCGACCAGCCGGGACAAAAGCGGCGCTTGAATGGAAGCTGTAGGTCTAAACTTAGAAAGCGCGATGTCGGTTAATCATTATTAGCCGCGAGTGTTGTTTTTCAATTTCGGATTCCTCGTATTCGAGCCTGGCTAGGTGGTTATTTCTCGAATTGTTATTCACCGTTCTGCCCATTCGCTATTTTAAAGACTCTTACTTCATCGTGTGTTCGTCCAAGTACAACGAGACTCCGTATGTTTGAATTCCGTTTATTGCGGCGAAATTTTAGACCGTGCCCTATTAATCGAACTTCCGCCGATCGAATGGATTTATTTGAACGAGAAATCATGAAAAGAGCGGAGATTCGGTTAATTTCTATTATACAAACTGTTCGTTAAATGGAAATCCACGGTAAATATTTCCACGAAGCGTATTCTCGCGATTAAACAAACGGATTCCTGATTAAAGTACGCTTAAAAAGCAAGTTTCCTTTGTCGCTCTTCAGTAGCAAAAACCAACTTCATAATTCTCTTAGCGTTCAATTTCCCTCGCTAATTATGCTCGTTTTCACCGTTCCTTAATGAATCCAACTGGGAGATTTCAGATTTCCACGGTCTGTGTTACACAGCTATCAAAATCGAGGTTTCCAGATGTAAGCCATGTTCTCTTGGAAGAAATATCTCTACATTTTGCAAGCACTGCGGGCAGCTTCGTCAGCAGTGGAATAACGCGTTACCAACACCCTGCAAACATACATAGTTTATACCAGGAAGCCTCAATTTCGACAGCCATAGATCTAATTCGGATCCAAAGCAGAGGACGACATGCACCATATCAAAACTTTGCCTGTTACGTTTCCTTCTACCTTTTTCTCTCTAAGCCAACTTTACGATCTTCTCCAGCGACCAGCCTTCCCTTAACCAACACACATATCCTTGATAACCAAAAGAACGAAGGGAAAAGTATAAGCGAAATCCACACTGTCATAAACGTTATCCGTGCTATTCACCTGTATATTGAACTTAGGCTTCTCGTAAAAGATCTTCCTCTCGTTTCTCTGGCCACACAGGTGATTGATGCTGTCCTCGACGTTGTTGTTGTACTCGTTGTCGTTCTCGGCCGGTCTGGTGTCGATGTCGTTCAGCCTGGGGTAATCCGGGCAGCTCTCGTGTTCGTCCTCCGTCAGATCTGTGTCCGACAGAAGAGAAGGCGCCAGGTGTTGAAAGCCAGGATAGTTAGGGTTGACGATACCGCGACAACCTGCGGGCAGATTTCCTTCCTCGGACCAGTCGGACCACTCGGACGGTGTCAACTCGTGGGACGAGTCTTCGTGAGAGGAGTTACGCCCTGTGGAATTTCATGCTCGTTGCACATTGCCGGAATACTGAATAATCGTAGCGAGCCACTGACTCATCGCAGCTGACCAGACGCAGGGCACAGGGGATTTGATCGAATCGTTTCGTTAAATTACGTGTCGGTTTTCAACTCTCCGCATAAGCCGAGCCTAGACTCTGATGACCGCTGCTGTCTGCCACGGGCTAACCGTACGCTTTCTTTCTCCTCTTTTCCTTTAATTTCTCTCGTCTATCTAGAGAACCGGGATTAGCCGGGGGATTGCACGAGTGGATTGGATCGGAAAGACGAATTTAAGAGATCAATTTTAGAGAGGTTTCGAGGAATCTGGTCCTAACTCGAGATGTCAACCTCGATTAGCTAGATGTTGGCGATTGGGGATTATTTTGACAGTGATTGCTTCAAATTGGATTTTGCTGAGTTTAAAACGGGAAATTGGAAATTGATTAACGCTGGGTTAAGGATAATATCGAGCACGCGATGATTTAGGTATGTACACTAATCCTACCATGACTCAAATTACTATTTCTTAACTTTTCATTTAAAATTCCATATTCAGTGGTAGAACTTTGGTCACCAGACTGTATAATTTTTCTTTTAATATACGTATAATTAATTTTCGATATTTTCTCTTATTCCATTTTTTTTTTTTTAAAGATTCTTCTTCTGTTCTTTTTTCATCTATCCATCATGTGACCAGTCGTGGTAGGTTCAGTGATAAATTTGGAAGCTTGTTGGAAATTGATATCGAAGGTTAGTCAGTGAATCGGAGAACGTTGAACTCAGATTTTAGTAGATTTATTAAAGTTAGAATTGGTCGAAATTAATTAGAGAAGAATATTGGGAGTACGATGACATGGTGACTTCGGAAAATAAATTTTAGAAGTGGTTTGAAGCAAAAGTTCAAGAATATCCGAAAAATTAAATTCGTAATACGATTTAATGAATCGAAAGTATACATTTTTAAAGTTGGAGAATCGAAGGATATTCTAGTTCAGTCACCTCGTTAAAAGATTCGGTAAAAAGGCTATTAAATTTCAGGATATCTTTGGGAGAAGTATTCCGATTTTGGATTGAATAAAATTAAAGGTTAATTCGTTAAATCGAAGTACTATTTTGACCTTCAGCTAGTTTTTATAATCACTGTTTTAATTTTTTGAAAGTTACGTAAAGTAATGTACGAGGAAAGCTGAATGACTAGCTTTTGTTGGTTTTCGTGTTTCCGAGTAAAAGAACGATTTCCCTTCCGATGAAACACGAATTACGTATCATCCTGTATACGTCAAGGTCTTCTGCATCATTAAGCCATAAAAATTATGGTTAATGTCAAGGTCGAAGTTACTCTTAGGCAGCTTGGGGGACCAGTCTGAAATACCGAAGTTCGTGACTTTTACGGGAACAAGATGCACGATCACTTTGCAATTTATTCCTTACTGATTTACGAAACTTAATAGACTCGCACTATTTCGATCAAATGCATGACATTAACTGAAAATAACGTTAACTCGTCGACTGAGAACTTTCCGTTCTATAATAGAAGTTTCTTTCTTTAAACGTGCTAGAAGTTTGCTAAATATTCTACGGTAATGTTTTCCAATAGCCTATTTATAAATTTCAGTTATATGCAATAAAGCTCAGAACTTTGAAGTTATAATTAAAACGTATGATAAATTGAAATATCAGAAACAAACGAAGAGCTAACCAAATTTCGTATGGCTCCTCATCGTTCGAGTTTCGAGTCTGCACACACGTTTCAGCTTGCAAAAGCACTAGAGAGACTGATCCCAGCTAGTTAATTCGAGCTTACGACTTCTTCGATGAAAACCACATAATTTTTGGGCGTAACAATTTTTCATACTGAATCATTGTCCCTAGGTTGATCCTCGAGGTCCGACGATGAACTCTACCTCGCATTTTGCGGGAACAACTCTTCCCATAGATTTGCAACAATTTCGGAGAAACCTACTCTTTAATTCAAAAAGTCATGCAAACAGGACGAAAACCGTAGAAAACAAACCAAACTCATCAAACAAGCCATGTGTCACATTCTCCAATAAAAATAGTCTCCATGCTGGAAAAAATTCGTCGATACATCGAATACTATGGCTCACCGGGGACCAATACCACCAGATTTACTAGGAACGTGTACAACTCGTTAACCATAGGATTCCAAATTCCGCGAATCAAGTTCTCCAAACGAATTAATACAAACACAGGTAAAAACTATACAAAGGAAATACTTTCATTTTTAATTTCCCAAATTTAAAGCGTTGGCTGCAACAGAGATGCCTGAATTAACCAAAGTGTCAAAGTTAAATGCACAGTCGTACACGCAAGAATTGAGAGTACTCTTAAAATTACGATAATCATACAAAATACTAAATGCATGATAAAGCGTTCAAACGATCTCGTTTCTCAATCAGGAAAACACTACCGCTCAAAGGTATCTAGACATTTATTCATTTCCAAGGAAACACAACTTTCTCCGAACTGATAATACTACTACATTCGTTACACCAACGATCTATCTATTTAATCACAGAATCATCAACGAAATTATTAATTCAAATTTCCAGCCACGAACTTCTCTACGAACTCCCGAAACTGTCCATATACCCGAGACCAATGGCGTATACCAACATGCATATAACGTACCATGCCGAGATAAGCGATCGGTAAATAAGACAGAGGATTCTGGCAATCGGCGCGTTAATTCGATCAAGATCTCCAAAGCCCGCGAACACCTGTTCGCAGAATCAATGAAACCAATTCGCGTAGATAAAGCCGTTACCTTCGTAGTCAGCCAAACTCTCGACAGAGCTGTTCCTGCGGATCCTGGGCACCGTGAGGTTGTTGTTCAGGTTGCCGGTCTCGATGTTCGAGCTATCGATCTGCACGCTCTCGCGGGTAATGGCGAGCGAGGACCACGTGGTGGTGTCCTCGGCGACGCGAAAATCCTGCGCGACCTCCGCGGCGTAATCGGCGGCTGTCTGGTTCCTGGCGACCGGGTCGTTGGTCGGCGACGAGTTCTCGTTGCGATTCCCGATCTCCTCGGTGATCGGCTGGCTCTGGTCGCTCCTACGTAACTGACTGCGAGCGAGACAGAGAAATGAGTCCAAGTGGATCGATACGTTCCGTTAGCCGCGGCCCGTACGATCTATGACGATGCAAATATAGCCAGCACACCTACGTAAGACGTCTGCGAGGTGGCACGAGCTACTCTCCTCACCCACACGTCAGGAGTACCCTTTCATACGGCCGTCTTTAACTTCGCGATCACGAGGGACTGATTCAGCCTTGCCGCGGAATATTGATCCTTTGGATCATGAACGCGAGCTTTTCGTCGTTCTTCCCTTTCAGCCGAGCTTCTCGAGGTAAATATTTTCTTCGTTAGCTGCTACCGGTTAGGTCTCTCGTATTTCCATTCATCGAGGGAAGGAAATTTTCGGCTGTTCGTATGTCTGGATACGGGAATCCGGATTAGATAATGGCTGGAGAAAGTATCGCGTTTGAACGTACGATCGCGTTAGAAATTTTTAACGAGTGCGATGTGCTCGTTGGATTTGTAATTTTGAAAATGATAAATATGGAATTGGCGAGATTCTGTATTGGATGCGGAGGTATTTACCTGTTCATGAAAGTCAGGAAAGTACGCGAACGTATATAAGAAATGAATAGAATGTCGATATTATAGTTCATTTTTAATATATGATATTCTCAAGATGAAGTACCGACATAAATTGGCAAGGGAATTTCGCGAGTCTAAATCCAACGCGTGTATTTTATTGGGAAAAAATTTTTGGGGTACGAGATAAAATTGCAACTATGATGAAATTTTATTCCACCGTGGATTTTTATCGACGAGGAATATTAAAGTGATACGATAAAGTCTGAAACGTGACACGTAAATGCCTAAAGTATATGAGCGTATATAATCGAATTTTATTTTTCATTTTTAAATTGCACGGATATTTAAAATGGTAATAAAGTTATATTTCCTAGACAGATGTACGTATTTCCCTTTTCACATTGGGAATATCGTCGGTACGAAATGCTCTGTTTCTTTTTTCAAGGGGAAATGAATATTTGAGAAGCACTCTGAAATCGTAATGAAATATCGGTGACCAAGACCGCTGTACCCAGCTTTCTCATTAAATCGAAGTATGAAATATTTTACGTAATTATAAAACGTGAATAATTGCGAGCCTCGTTCGGATTTTTCAGAAATATCAAATTGTCGAGAGATCCCTTAAATTACGAGCTTTAATTGAAGGTAACCCTCGTTAAATGTACTTTCATCCTCCTTGTGCAAGGATACAGAGGTGCCCGAACGTTGATATTAAATCCACGTGGACTGTCGATGGCTATAATCAAAGATTCAATTAGAAACAATCTTCGAATAATTATGTTCCACTCGAATTTCGAAACGAAAAGCTGTACGAAGAAAATATTTACACCCTCGAGTAAATATAAACGAGTTAAAAAATTAAATTTCTCGATCTCGATCTTATCTTTCAACATTCTAAAATTAATCAACCGTTTTACAGCTTGTACCTTACTTTACGAAAGAAAACGTCACCGATTTCTATGAAAGAGGGCAGTACACTGATGGAAAAAAAAGAAAAAAAAATATAGAGAAGAGTACATACACGTATCTATACAGTTAAATTACAGTACCAGTGCAAAAGAACGAATTGTCTCTACGAGATCAAACAGCAGGCGTCGTTAAACTGGATTTGGAACGTCAAGCAACGCAGAACATCTCTCAAGCTCGCTTTCGTCGAGATCGACGATCGACCGAGATAAATCGATGGTGCGTTAATGTGCAGTTTCATCGCCATGGGACCATCAAGACACTGAGAAATGTGTGTGATTGGTTGTTTCATTGTCAAAAACGCAAAGAAAACGTCTCCAGAATCGGTTCGTGTCGCGTGTGTCGTGGGAAATGAAATTCTCGCATGATCTCGTGCATTCGGCTGCGTCCTTCTCGAGTATCGAGAGGAGTAGTGTAGATCTATGCGAAGCGATCTGTATCTAGTGAAAGTAACACACCACACTAAGAAAAAATGGAAAGAAAGAAAGAAAGAAAGAAATAAAAGGGAAAATAAAAGGAGAGAAAAGTAAAATGGCTAATAATTTCGTGTAATCGCTCGCTAAGGGGTAGTACGATCGTGAAAGTCAGAGGAAAGAATATCGAAAATGAAGGAAGGAATAAGAAAGAAGACGTATACTGAGAAAAATCTGTATTCGCTAACAAGACACGTGTAACGACTTGAAAAAACTCGTGTCTCGAGGAGCAAGGGTGGCAAAAGTTCATGCGACACAATCACTTGTTGCGGTCTGTATGCGTACGTTTGTATGCCGTGTGTGTACACTGGTGTGTGCGTGTGTAGGTGTAAATGTTTGTGCGCGTTTGTTTGATGCGTTCGGCAAGAGAGGGGTAAATATTTACAAATGAGAAACATCGATAAATCAAAATCTAGACGAGGTTAATTCCTCTTAGCTTCGTTCCGCTTTTTGTTCAACACCATAAGAAGCACGAATAATTGGAATGCGTGAATAAAACGGAGAAAGAAAAGAGAAATAATAAAAATGATTACGAACGTATATATATATATACGGTAAACTGTATCAAAAGGGGACCGTTTAGAGTCAACACTAACCTTATGGTTTTTCCTTTTCAGTTAAATGCCTTGGCATTGCTAATAATAAGGTACGGAATAAATATTCTACAATTTACACTAATTTAAGTAACATTTAAAGCTACTCGTTTCTAGATCTCAGTGAAAGCTACGCGTTTAAACTGTGAGCTAATCGCTAATTCTACGGAGAACGATTAAAAGGTATTCTAATTAATCGTGACAAAGAAAGAAAGCTACTTTAAACGAATCGTGAAAATAAATATAGCGCTAAGGTTCTTGCGGTGATGCTACTCGAGTAAATTTTCTAACGTTTCACTCCACTTTCACAGTTGCATCTGTTTGAAGAAGAAAAAGAAAAGGGGATAAAGAAACGAAGAGAAGGAAGAAAAAGAAGAAGAAAAAGCAAAACGATAAATTCCACGGTAAATTTCACAACGACATAATTAAACGACACAAACGACCACGTCAAATCAAGCGCAACACCATCAGGTACATACATCCAACTCGAACGTAATATCGAACACCCCTTGAACGAAACTTTCCACTTGCTTTTCGAACGAAAGCGGAAGTAGACGAAAAAAGTAGACAAAAGAAAAAGAAGAAGAAAAAATCTGTGAAATTTGATCGATCCAGACGGAACATAGAAGGAAAACAAAGAGGGAACACGAATCACGAGCTAGCCTGCGGGAAAGAAAGGTCACGAGGAAGCCACGTCATTCGCTTAGAGACTTGCAATTAGAAGAAACGAAAGAAAACTGTTTCCCCCGACACAAAACACTGACTCGGTCCGCGCGAACCACCCTCTTCTTACCCCGTTCTCGTAAAAAAGCTCGAGGGTGCACGAAAACGGCCAGACGACCACGACCACGATCACGACCACGACGAGAAGAAAATCGTGTGACTAGGGAAGAGGAAGACGGACCCACAGACATCGACCGGGTCGTCACGAGGAATCGCGGTTGCACTTACTTGTTGTTCAGTCCAGCAGGATGCAGGGGTACCGAGACGACAGCCTCCCTGAGCCGCATATCGGATCCTCGTCTGAAAACACAGTTCGAACAGGGGCTGGTTCAAGAGGCTCTTTCCGCTCGCACTCGCTGGAACACGCACACGTAACACACACGCACGCGAGCCGCGTGGCCGCGGTGCTCATTGATTCCGCGGGATCATTTTCGCTCGGTAGCTTTGGTGCCGTGGTAAAGAAGAAAAGAAAAGACGGAACGCGTGGTACAATCGATCGTAAAGCGGCCAACGACGCTACTCTTCGCTCTCTACCTGGCCGAGAACGTCCAAGGAAAAAGGGAATGGGACTCACCGACCGCCATGTTGAAGCCGTGCGCAAGGGTGCTCGCGTTTCCCGTGGTTTATCGACTCGCAACCAACACCCTCGTTTCGCTCTCCTTTCGCTCTCCTACCTCTCTCGCCCTCGTTCTATCATCCTCTCTCTTTCGCTTCGTCCATCCCTACCTTCCTCCACTCGCTCCTTCTTTCTCCCTCTGCCCTCACTCGCTCTCTATTTATCTCTCTCTGCGCAATGTGTGCTTCAGACGATCCTTCGTCGTTTCGTTTTTACCCTTTTGCATCCGGGTTTTTCGATCGGTCCAAGGTTGCTATTTTCGAGGGAGGCCTCGCCGGGGCAGAATCTGGGCTGCGTTTCGAATAAACCTCTCGGTTTTCACACCGATGTTTTCCCAAGGTTTGGCAGGCGCGATGGCAAGATGTTTAATCGATCGCTGCGTGTTGCTTCCACCCCGCTTTCCGGCTCGGGCATGCATTTTCGCGGGTTTTTTGAGATTACCAACCGACTCGAACTGCTTTTCACAATGGCTTCCACGATGCTCTCGTATTGTTCGAGGAAATTCAACCAGAATATTCTTCCTACGTTATTTTCTTTGCAATTTTAACGATTTTGACAGTGGTATCGGTCGAAATATGTTATTCTTTTTGGTGTTCTGGTATTTTATGCTACCAAATACCAGGAGGCTAACAATATTTGCACCATTTGCAAAACAAATTAACAAACAAAGCAGTACCTTACGTAATATTTTCCATCATCGTCATCAAAATATTTCCTAAAATAAACATGTTTGCTTGCTTCAACGAATATTCTATATTTGGCGGTAATAGCCAAGTTTTACCGTAAACCTATGAATTCTACCGCAAATAGATCAGATGTCGCTGTATACAACAATTACAGTAACTATCAACCAATACCATCTCTAGAGAATACGTAGCAATTTACCTAATTTACGACAGCATTGACAGCAATTATCGGAATATATTTCTGTACCTTAACTAGAAGAAAATCGAAGAAACAAGGAAATCGTCAGTATGGCGAACCTCAACTTTAAACAGTTTCAAAACGTATATCATTATAAAGGAGTAACACTTTCATTTTGTTTCTTTATTTTAAACAAATCCTTTCTTCGCTGTCTTCGCAATATTTCTCCACGGTGCATTGACCCTGTCGATTTATCCGCTGATACGTTTAGTCTTAACCGCCTTAACTTTAGTTTTGCTTTTCGCAGCTCTTATCTCGTCGTTTGCAAAATTTACGGCCGACAGTTCGTTGAAAAAGTGCTATGAAACGCAACGTTCCTCCTTTCGATTGCTCCCTCGAGATTGAAACCAGCAGTGGATTACCTTGTGTATCTGTTTTACTCGTCTTGTACTTCGCCTCCGTTATTTGACGCCTACTTATTTCCTACGGCTTCTGTTTTCTCATCCGTTTACCTCGATTTTCAAAGTATACCGTGGAAGTACTTTAACGAAACGGCTCGCCGAGAATTTCTTGATCTGCGTTCGTTCGAGTCTGGTGCGAAGCAACCTACTCCAGAAATTAAAATGGATTCGTGTCTATTTCAAAGCTGAAGAGGGTTGTCACACCATCGTCTCCACGCTTCCTGCACAGTATCGTCGAATTTAATTAAAGAAGGAAAAACAGGGTGGAAAAAAGCTGTTGGAATTGTAGATTTAGAGCAATTTGTAGATTACAAATTTGATAGCTCGTTAATGACGAGAATAGCCAACAGACGTTTAACGAAGCTTATAGCTGTAGAGATTTATAAAGGTAACCCAAGATTATATTATAACCACATCTTTTGGCGAGATTAATAAACGATTAGGAGCATTAGATGGAGCAATACCATTTGGACGAGTGAAATCTATTATTAAAACGACAGTTAACGTCTGAGTGAGATTTAGAAGGGATGTACTTTGACGTGACAGGAGATTCGATTTTCCAGACTTTTTCATCAATTATGTACAAGACGGGAACAGTAATTTATCGACGTGAAATTGGCAAGATGAGCTTCGTGAAACTTTTTCTCGACAAAAGTTCGAGAAAAGTTAGTCTCGTACATTTTTTGGAATACAGGACTTTTCCCACGTACAAGCTGCTTTGATACTCGATTTTTCGCAGTATGTCGCAGATATTTATATCGTTTATTCTACATCGTCTAGATATCGTATGAAAAATAAATTTAGCCACGCTCGCTGATAAAAATTTGCATATCACGTTTATTCCGAACGCACGTCGCAGGGCAATTTTCCTTAACTGCTTCATCGATACTTGAATTTTTATGAAATATCGTTTCGATGCGACTCAACGTGATGCAATCGAATGCATTATTCTGACCTATTTGTCATCGCAAGAAATATGGCGGATAACGATGGCACCAGAAACAGAACCTCGAGGAAAATTAAGGTTGGCGCTGAGTGCCAAAGGTCGCTGACAACATAATTCTCATCGTAGTTACATCTACAATTGACCATTTACTCGATCGTTATCGATTGACCTAATAAGATTTTATTCTGCGAAGCATCGTGAATAATACTCTATACAGGAAATGCTCTTAGTCACTCCTACACGGATACTCTCTCCTCCAAAACAGAATATTTATTCTCTAACGACTATTTGAACGTTCGCAAAGTGTTTCCAAGGCTATCTCTCTCATCGATATCAAAGAAAGAAAACAAACGGAATACCTATTTCCCTACTTCACGAGATAAAACTCGAAAAACAGTTCTCCTTTCGCGATATCCAACAGAATTCGCACTTTCGAGGCTTCAAAGGACTAATCCTAACGACTCTAGAAAAAGGAAGAGGAAAAACAGAATCTCGTTTCACTACCCACGCATTTTCTCGCAAAACGAAAACCCATTATGCCTCCGCGACAGCAGCTAATGTCCCATTTCTCTCTACTTCGTACTCCCCATTCAGGTGAATAAAAATCGTTCGCAGGTTGGATGCACAAAGCCGGTAAGCGTTCTCTTTGATGCCGGCGCGGGTGTCATAGGCGTCGTTGGCGAATGAAATTCTTTCATTATCATTGGAACAGGCGAAAATGAGGAAAAAGAGAGCTTGCGAGGTGGAGAACGGGGGTTTCATAGCCGTGACACCCGACTGTTTTCCCGAGCAAGGGGAGAGATTCCTGCTCCCTCCTTTTTCCCTCGATGCTCTCCATCCTGTTCTCTTCTGCGACCCCTCGCATGTCTTCGTCTCAGTTGCGTGCTGTACACCATAGACAGAGCCACGCATCGATCGACCAGCGAGTCCTTTCTACCCTTCCTGGTAGCGAGCTCCGCTTAAGGCCGCGTGCATATCGTGGTTCCGAGTTTAGAGAAGTATCGATACAGCGGATGGAATTATCGATAGGCACGCGAGAAACGCCGTGGAAGGTGAACCGCAAATTTGTTAAACGATAATGAAACAAAGTAGCAGAAGGTTGGCTATGAAAGGGTGATGGACGCAGGCCTTGAAGGGTGAGATTCTTGAGTCCTGGCTGCTGCTGGTCTTTGCTTATCGATGAGAGAGAAAAGCGACAGTGTTTATCGCAGAGCATTTGTATTCCTTCTCTTTGTCGTAATAACGTTGATCGATGGACGAAGAAAAGAGTTGGAAGAACCAGGATAATTTCTGCGAATGAAAATTCACTTTTCGTTAAAGGTTTCTACACTGTGGAGTGTGAAGATAGATTAAACAATGATTTCTGGAATCTTCGTTCTTCCTCCTCTTTGTGTTATCATCAAGGAAGAAAAATGAAGTCGAATGATCGAAAGTCGATCTGACGTAGGGAATGAATAAAAATTATTCTTTTGTGACAAGTTTGATAAAGCTGGAGTGCGAAGATAGGTTAAACGCTGACTTCTGAAACGTTGATCCCTTCTATTCTTTATGATATTATCTTGGAGGGAGGAAAACGAAGTTGAAAGATTAAAAGTCGATTCGTCGGAGTCCTCATCTTCTACAAATGGAGATTCGATTTTTCCACAGGAATTTCTTTGGTATGATAAACAAGCGTTTGCCCAGATTGACTGTAAGAATGCGGAGATTTGTAGAAATGATTTGGAAAGAG